GATTTGTTCTAATGGTGTTTGTAAATAGGATATCATGTCCCCATCTTGTACAGCATTTAACCACTAGGAAGAATGTACGCAATGTGTTAATTATTGAAACTCTCCTACCAATTTGATTTGAAATTGTCTCATTGCTATTTGTTCATCAATAAAATTATGGGAAAAAAAAAAAAGATCTGGCTTTACTTTATAAATTCACAGGCATTTACTAAGAGGTACCAAAAAGGAAACAGTAACCATTTTTCCAAACCCCTTCCTCCTCCATTTTATGTGATTCTGCACACTTCAAAAAACCTTCTGGCCTAAATTTTTGTAAGTCCCCTATACTGAATTTTAACTCAAAAGGGCTTAGTACCTTTGCAGGAATAACATGTTCATCATTAGAACTAATATGGAATTTAATAAACAAACAGTGAAACATTTTAAGCCAGAGTACATACCGACTCTCAATTAAGAAGTGAAAATTTATTGTGGGAACCTCAGATACACTGGAAATATACTATCAAATACTGGGCTGGCTGCGCATGCTAAGAAATACTGCACTATAACTTGCCTCTCCCCTGATCTCTGCATTTCAAAACTCAACTCTGGCCTTATAAAAATGGTATCATTCTCTGAAGGCAAAAAAAATTTTTTATTCATGTTGAAAGTAATCATTGTTAAAATTCACCTATTAGATGAAAACTGTTAGAGAACTAATAAAGTAACCATCAAGAAGTATTTATTAAGCAATTAATAAATGTGAAATCTATACCAAGAGCTCTGGAGAATGCCAAAGACAGAAAAGACGTGGTCTCTCAGCTTGCAAGCTTTTATTATCTAGCATTAACTCACGTACAGTACTAAGAGACACAGACAAATACCAGCTCCCAAGACATCTTACCAAAAGTGCTCAATAAATAACTGGCCTGGTCAGGAGACAGCAGGAGGCCTATTCAGACAGGCAGAGAGTCAATAAAGGAGTAAAGTTTATCCTGTACAGTAAGAGGCCATCTATAAACTTACCTGCTGAATATCTAGGCTGGTGATATCCATGTGGACAATGAGGGCTTCCACATTTTCCATCAACTTCTTATCTTGGAAATGAACAATCAAGTCTTTCATCACTTGGGGTGTGATACCCACCAATTTATCACTTAAAATATATGGTTCAAGGCACTCCAAAAACACTCCTTTGGCCACTGAATTCTCACTTAATCTATCATACATTTGGCTAAATAAAAGATCCCTATAAGAGAAAGAGAAAAATAATTTTAGGAATGCACTAAATATGCATTAAATTTAGTTGGCTAAGTATGTCTATTTTTCCCCCTATTTCAATTTCTTAAATGAATTTATTAAAAACAGTAATAATATGTGCATAAAGCTTTCTATTGTAAAATCCTTTTTACTGATACAGCATCTCAATCTTTTCAATATTTCTTTAATAAATAAGAGAAGTGGGAGAGCTTAGGCTGCTTGCTGAAAGACACACAGTGAATTTAACAAAGAGAATCTGAACCTGGGGCATGGGGGGATAGTTCAGTAGAATAAGCGCTTGCCTGGCAAGCACAAGGGCCCGAGTTCAATCCCTGGTTCCGCAAAAAAATAAAAAGAATCTGAACCCAGCCTCTGGCCTCAATCCTTTGCTCCATTTATTAAGGCACTCTGCTTCTTAGCAACAGTACCACTGACACGAGAGCAGGTGAGGAGGGCAAACAAGATGAAGCCGGAAAAAACAGTCTATTCATTATTTATCCTGCCTTCCTCCTTAGGATTTGACTACTGTATTCCTAGTAAGCTACAATAAGCTTCTTTATCTAACTATAAGTAACCTGCTTCTCCAAGATACTGGGCAATGATTACTGATAGGAGAAGGAAAAAACAGTTTACTTTTTAAAATATATAACTAGAAATACTTTTATTACAGGAACCATTTTTTAAAAATGAATCTAGGGCTGGTGAGATGGCTCAGTGGTCTAAAGCACCGACTTAGAACAAGCTTTGCAAAGCACAGAGACCGCGGTTCAATCCCCCAGCACCACATGCCAGCCAGCCCCGCCCCCTTGTGGGCTGAGCTGGACACACACACACACACACACACACACACAAATAAATAAATAAAATTTTTTAAAAAAAGAATCTAAATACTTTATTTTCTATTTCTTCTAAGTGATTTTAGTCATACGCAGTGTAAATATTCTGAATTCTATTTTTATGCAGTATTGCAAGATAAGCATTATTCTAAGTAGGTACTCCTATTATTTGGAAGTCTGCAATTAAAAAATATACCTTTCATTTTATTTATGAGGTACATTATGACATTTCTGTACAGACATATGGCATATAACAGGTCACAGTAATTAGCATAGCTATCACCTTAACATGTATCATTTCTTTGTGTTTCCCACTTATTAGCTATTTTGAAATATAATATACAATTAGTGGTCAAACACAGTTGTTCCATTGAGCTACAGAACATCAGAGTTATTCCTCCAGTCTAGCCACACTTGTGTACACTGTAACCAACCTCTTTTCATTCCCCCGACTCCTCCCACCCTTGCCAAACCCCTGGTAACCACTACTCACTCTCTACTTCTATGAGATCAAGTTTTTTAGCTTCCACATATAGATGAGAACATGCAGTATTTTTCTGTGACTGCACTTAGCATTCCAGGCTCATCCATATAGCCAAAAATTGACAGAATTTTACTCTTTTAGGACTAAATAGTATTCGTGTGTGTGTGTGTGTGTGTGTGTGTGTGTGTGTATCAAGTTTTCTTTCCCATTCATCTGCTGAAGGACGGAGTTGATTTTCTGTCTCAGCTACAGGGAATACCACTGTAGTAAGTGTGGGACAGCACACATCTTTTCAACACAGATATCCTTTCCTTGGGACATATACCTAGTAGTGGAACTAGCAGATCATATGATTGTTCTAGTTCTAAATTTTGAGCATTTATAGTATTTTTCATTTTGGCTGTACTAATTTATATTCCTATCAAGAGTGTATAAGAGGGGCCGGGGAGATGGCTCAGTAAGGTAAGTGCTTGACTGGCAAACACAAGGATCTGAGTTCAATCCCCGGTTCCACCAAAAAAAAAAAAGAGTGTATAAGAGTTTCCCTCTCTTTGCAGCTACTTATTCTTTAAAATTATCATTTTCTCTAACTTCAATATTATGACACATCAAGATTTGCGCAAGTATTCCTGTGGTGTTGGACATGTCACTTATTTCCATTATTTTCAATGATACCACAATGAATGTCTATATAAAGTCTTTCCCATTTTGAAGTTTTTCTCCCTGACAATTTAGCATATATAAATGAAGGAATACCACTGTTTTTAATTTTTTATAAGAGGCAAATGGAGTATGTTCCATTGTATCCATTTATAAATAGTACTATCTTCTATCATTTATTCGCTAATTCTGTTTTTTAAACAAAAATCTATGCTGATTATATCTACCACTTAGGATCACTGATTTATTTTATCTAAATATACTTTAGATGTATCAAGTCACCTGTAGAAAATGGCAGATAGCTTATCCACATGATAAGTTCCACAAGACCATGGAGGCTCTTGGCAGGAGTGGGACAGGGTTTTGCTCATCTAAATGCTGGGACAAATGGGAAACAGTCTGGCTGTGACTAAACCAGATCACATGATACCTTTCAATAAATTGCATTTGCAATATCCTGAGGTAAAATCCATATCTATTTTTCCTTCAAATGTAATTTTCCATCATTTTCCTCTTGGCTTCACATTTATCAGAGTATTTTTCATGCTAGTTTCATTTTAATCAATAGCTCATCACATTATTTGTAATTACCAATTACTACTCAAGCAAAAAAAAAAACAACCTGAGATTAATGAAGTTTTACTACAAGGAAAAGTCAGAGCTACAAAATAACTGTAATGAATTCACAGAAAATGTCATATTGGCTCGTCCTTGTATTGTGTAATGTACTATTAAGCACAACATGCTAAGAAAGATAATTATATATTTTAGCTTAGTTCAAAAAGCGTTGGGAAAAAGAATTAAAGAAAGCTATTTAAACTCAGTAAACTAAAAACTAAGTAGACAGAGTACAAAAGTTGACAGAAAAGGCCCTCCTGTGACAAAAAGCATGACACAATGTTGTTAAGATTAATGAAAAGACTACACATCTCCTTCTTACCAATTAGAGGTTATAATAAAACAAAATTCTGACTCAGAAACTCCCAACTTGTATCTCTACCTCAAAGTCAAAATGAAACAAAATTCTAAGACATGGTCTCATCATTCCTGAAAAGTATTTTTAGAATAGCAGAAAAGTAGAGAGAGAGAAAAGTACACACAAATAGTTTCTAGCTCTCACATTTCTTTCTGTATCTAGGCATTATTCTCTAAGATGCTGACTTTGTTTCTTAATAGGGCTGACTTCAACCTGTTTACCATTTCAAGTTTAGCCTCCTCTAGCCAGGATAACAGAAAAGCCATCAGGAATAATAAAGAGTCATCAAAGATATTTCTACAAACTTCCTTTAGCTCAGTTGTTTAAACGCCTGCTCATGCCAACAGTCAGGTGCAGGATACCGCAGTTCGATCCCCAGCTCCACATACCTTACCAGGCAGGCCCTTAAGACAGCCTGAGCCAGCAAAAAAAAAAAAAAATTCCTGCTTAACTTTTGGGCCGGCCAAATAGCTCAGCGGATTAATGCACCCCTGGGATGCAGAGATGGCAATTGAGACTGGGTGTAGTGACATGTACCTGTAATCTCAGCTCTCGGGAGGCTGTAAACAGGCAGATCACTGAGTCCAATCTAGTAGTGAGACCCTGAACACCCTGTAGACCCTTCCCTAAAATACAAAAAAAAATTTAAAAATTAAACTTCAAATAGAGAAAAATGGTTAAATTGATCTTCTATAATATCAATTTTATAACTTTTTAAAGGTGAAGAATGAGGGCTGGCCAAATAGTTCAGCAGAGTAAAGCATCCATCTGCAAGCAGGCTCACGGGTCAGGGGTTCAATACCTGGGCTGCCCCAGCTCTGCCCCTACTAGGCATGCTGAGATGGCAATTGAGACTGGGCGTGGTGGCACAAGACTGTAATCCCAGCTCTTGGGAGGCTGTAAATAGGAGGGTCACTATGAGTCTGATCTAGTAGTGAGACCCTGAATACCCTGTAGACCCTTCCCTAAAAAATACAAAAAAAAAAAAAAATTCCTATATAACTCAAGTCATTTGAAAGACGGCTTCTTAATAGCTTTGAATATTGTTTACAGTGACACAAATAATAATGGTCAGAATCATCTACATAGAGCATCTATTTATTTTTAATCTATAACAGTTTTATTGAGATATAATTTACATATAATAGCAACTACCATTAAATAATGTTCAAAATTATGTTTATGATTTCCATAAACTCTGGACCTATTTTCAATACAAAACTGACATTATGGATATTGCATAGTATATGTATATACATAGAAAGGCACATATATGTGTATCAGACTTTACATATATGTGCAGATTTAGATAAATATATGTATATAGAACAAGGTAAAATAACAGATCATTAAAAGTCTTTAAAAAAAAAAAGCCTTGATACATTCTATATCTTTTTTCTAATACTGAAAAAAACACCCAACTAGACTGGAATTGTAGAATAAAGATCATGAAAATAAAATATAAATCTTCAAAGTCAGAATTCTTATCATTTCTCATATTAATTCACAAAGACATTTAGCTAAGTTTTAAATAACAAAATGTCCACAATACATTGTTCAGTATGTCCTACAAAGGAAAAATAAATGTGGTTCCTGACTCTAGCAAGGCACAGTGGTAGACACCTATAATCCTAACAAGCCCAGGGAATTGATCATTTTTAATTTTATAATCTGTGGAAACTCTATTATAAAAATTCTACCATTTGAGTGATTACACTGAACTATTTAATTAAACATAAAATTGTTCCATCCAATATCAATCTGTAATAACTATATCTTTGGGACAGGAAAGAACTAGAGAACAACCCAAACACAAAGCTGATCTTTTCTGCCCTTCTCCTGAATGCTAGCCCCTCTACTTAGCTCCTCGAATGCCTTCAGGGCAAGAGTGCTGTGGGGATCGAACTACAGCAACCTGAGGCTGACAGCTTTGTGGAAGCAGCCACTTAAAGAACTAAGCTAGGGCCAGGACCCCCTAGCCCCTCTACTTAGGATCTGAAAAGCCCACACATGAGTGGCAAGTACAAACACTCTAATCTAGAACAGAAGAAACATCAGACCCAATTCCTAGCTTTACTGATTTTAAATTTTCTTACATTGATACTACCTAAGCCTTTGCCTGCACTAGAACCCAAAAAGTAGAAGTGGGGGGAAACCAGGAGATAAAGAGAAGAACACACATTCCAGAACTTTTCCAAACCTAGTACAGTCTAGTCTAGTCAGAGCTAAGAAGTTTTCACCATCTTCACTGTGGCCCATGGAAAGGGTGGAAAGAACTATGAAAAACAATGAGCTGGACAAAGAACCTTGAGGTCCTTCTCTCCTAAGAGGTCAGGAATAGACTGTGGCTGCTGGTATTTCTCTCCCAGATCTCCATTAACAAATATCCCATTTGTTTCTGGCAATCCTAGAAGAAAATATTCTAAAGAGTCAGGAAAAATTAAAGAAAAGAAGTTGATTAAAACAAAGAAATAAACATAAACATATTCTAACTTGGTGAAAATCCAGGTAAGATTTTACCTCCTGTAATATGTGTTATGATTTAATGTAGAAACTATTACATTCTCAGCCAGTCAGTAAGTGTAGTGGCACATGCCTGTGATCCCAGCACTGGGGAGGCTGAGACAGGAGGATCACTAGAGTCTGAGCTATGTAGTGAGACCCTATACCAACTAAATAAATAGATTTAGAAAAACAGAATAAATCTATTTAAATCTATTTAAATAAATAGATTTTTTAAAAACTTCTGAAAGAAGGTAGTTTTTTGTTTTGCTCTATATTATCCATTATTTTATAACTGTTATGAGCCATTTTGACTTTATGCCACTATAAGAACATTCAAATATTCATAATGAGCACAAGTCATGCTACAAACCAGAATTATTGAGTTAATTCAGCCATTAAGTATTTAATAGCTACTTTGATATAGGTATAAGCAATCTATTTTATTTAGAATAGAATATATCTTATTTTGAATAAAATTTAGTCTTTCAGGTACTTCATCTCATTACAATTATCTCTATTTGTAGATTTGATTGGAGATGTGAGTGGATTGCAGTACTTGTTAGTATTAGAAACATTTCTTTATTTCCATTTCCTTATCTGTGAATAAGGACATTTCCTCTCTTAATCACAAGGATTAAATGAAATAAAAAATATATAGAATATAGAATTAATCCACAAACTATTAACAATGGTTTTACAAATCCAAAATAAATAACAAGGAAGTGAGTGGAGTACAGAGCACACCAGGTTAAAAAAAGGTAGGCTCTCATGGCCTTGCCTTCTAAGAGGCTATCATTAGTGTACTCAATTCATCCTTCATCAGCTCAATGCCAACTGGCTGCTCAAAGCTGCAGTGGTATTTCTGGCCCTATTACCTAAAAGAAACTTCTCCCTTAGGTTCTTATAAACACTGCAATATACTGCATAATATAACATTCTCAACAATATCCCTACCATAAGCACAATATATTTCACTAATTATATATAACATGATACTTAAAATGCTGGAATAAATTTCAGCCCAAGTAAGCAAAAACATTGCTAACTGCAACTTAGTCAAAAGTCTGACACAAAAAAATAATTGCCCTATTGATAAGCTTCACTGATATTTTCAAAGTCTGGTCCAATTCTTTGGGAATCTGGCTACTGAGATAGATAGATAGATAGATAGATAGATAGATAGATAGATAGATAGATAGATATATTCATTAGTCAAGCCAGTATTATGTGGGCTTTTAGGGTATCTGCATTACACCTTCACACAGGATCTCTGTCACCTGGAAAGTGATACAAGGTCGAGAGCTAGATGCCTACGTTTGAATCTCAACTCTGCTACCCAAAAGCTATGGAAGCAAGTTTGTGATTAATCACTTCATACTCCAGAATCCAAGTTTAAATTAAACACAAAATAAAAACTAGATAACAGGAAGTAGGCATAACAATCTTTCTCAAATGGAAAGGGGATCAAGAGATGAAAGGAGAAGGAAAGGAAGGGAGGAAAGGGGAATGAAAAAAGGAATTAAGATGTGTCATACGCATGTATATGCACACAATGTAAATATTATGTATTAAACATATGTAGTAATAAAAATTAAAATAAAGAATTAAAAATACCTACCTCATTATAAAAATAGACAAGTTGCTATAAAAACTAAATATGTAAAAGACTTAAGTGTTCTAAATATTGTGTAAAAAATTGAATTTGCACGTTTTTAATTTATAGTTATTATTTAAATAAACAAAGTCTAATCAAGAGTTTACTTACACTGTCTTACAAACAAAATGAACCCAGTTTTTTTTCTTTTTTTTTTTTTGGCAGAACTGGGGATTGAACTCAGGACCTTGTGCTTGCCAAGGAAGCGCTTATTCCACTGAGCCATCTCCCCGGCTCCGAAACCCAGTCTTTTAGATGCTATGAACTATGTGTTTTAGCTTGGGTTCATTAAAAAAAAAAAAAATATGAAAGAAAGAAAATATGCCTAAAAAAAAATATACACCATACACAAATTATACACTGTTTATTTACATTTAAGGTCTCTAAGTGGGCAGCTCTTTTGGCTGGGTTCTTTGCTTCCATTAGCATGCCACACAAATATATCAATGATATACAAATAAATAAAACACCTGATTCAGAAAGGATAATTTCATTAGATAAGTGGGCTGAAAATGTTAAAGAATCAAATTTCTCTAACTTCAAAAAAAAAAAAACTATCCAGTCAAACTCATAGTATTCATGGCAGTGAACTACACATAAAGACGATGCTACCTGAGTTCAAGATAATTGAATCTGACAGGCAATGCATACTCACTTTCTTTGCAGTAGAAGGCAGTAATCAACTATGACAGGCACTGTATCCTGCAGAGGAAACATAAAGAAAGCATCAGCCTTCTGCCCCTGCCTAAGGCCCACTGATAAAGGAAGAGGTCTGATCAAGATGCTGCTTGTTAAGAAGCTAGAACTTTGGACCACTATGTGACACTATGTGCCAAAAGTCTTAAAAACATGAAAATAATGTGATTCAATAATTCTATTTCTGGAAATTTATCTTAAATATATTTAAGAAAAAAGTTAACGGACTAAGGGGTTTACTACAGCTTTGTCACAGAAAAGGAGGAAATGGAGGGGAGGGGAAAGTAGAAAAGGGTAAAAAATAATCCACTAAAATTCATTACACAGCATAGAAAAATAAGTAAATTTGGCTAAATACGCATATAAAATTATAGAGTTTACAACATTAACACAAACACAAAAAATATGTAATTTATCTAAAAACTTTGTAAAAAAAACATCAAATTGCCAATAGAATATAGTTGGTTCTATTGGATAAAATAGGTTGCATGTGTTTTATCATAATTCTCCAAACAAGCTATATTTTAAGGTTGATTTATCTCAGTTTCATAATATTTTGCCTGCTCTATATTCATCATGCATGGACTCATATAAAGTAAATGGAAACCCATAATTTTGGCCTTTTTCAAAGGAAACAGTTTAAAGAAAAGGCAGCTTACTATGATTGTTAACTGTCAATAACCAAGCATCAGATTTTAATAGTATTCATTTTCTGCAGGTTATAGGGAATTAGTTTACTTTTTAAAATCCTAGAAGGCCTAGATTCTGGACAGAAAAAAAAAAAAAAAATCCTAGTAGGAAAGAGGGAAAAATAATATATTGGGGGAAAAAACACTACTGCATGCTAATATCTACTTGAGAAAAGGTCAAAACTAAGGCCCTTTCTTGAGAGAGGAATGCACAGAAAGGCCTGCAACCCTGTAAGAATTAGAAGAGCTATCCCAGATCCACCCTCCTTCCTTACCATCAATACTCCTCCTGACTAGATTTATAATCTTATTTAGACTTCAAAACACAGAGCCAAAATCACAGACTTGAAAAGGGTTGAGGCTGTATCAAATTTCAACCCTGAATGAGAATGGTAGGATAAATAATGGGGAGGAGAAAAGAGGGCTCCTGAGGAATGCAGCTGGAAATTTATTAAAACATCCTTTAAAATACAGCTGAGCTCTCAGGAAAATATGGACAACACTCAGGGTCTAAAAGTAAAAGGAGAGCGAAAACCAAAGCAGCAAGCCCCCATGTTGTCACTGACGTTATCCTGTAGGTTTGTTGGTCACAGAAAAACTTGGGTTTTAATGCCAGAAAGAGGCTGAAGCCTCAGACTCCTGTGACATAGGGAACTGAAGCAGAGGGTCTGCCTAACCCTGGGACCCTTCAAAGGCTGCAGTTGCAGCCTCCTGCAGAGGAAGATCACCAGTAATCTGTGGCAGGCCGACCCAGTGGGTGTAAATCTGTACCTCCAAGAATCTACATTCAAGATTCTATCCTTAGGTGGATGTGGGGCTTAAACTTAACCTTAGTATGGGAATAATCTAGGCAAGAAGTTAACATAAAATGTGATCCTGATAAAGAATACTCCTGAATCATATGAAAGAAGCAAATTCAAAAACTCCTCAGAAACTGTCCTGAAATCAGAGAAAATAAGTACTACCAATAATTTTGAGTATTGAAGATGTGGGCAAACTACAAAATTTAAAACAGTGAACCACAAATGAATGTTATCAGAAACCACAAATACAGTTAGCAGAACTCTCAAAAACATCAAATAACAGAATTCACTGGTAGAAAAATATGCTTAACATCATTAAAGGTATAAAATACAAAATTAAGAGCCTAAGTCATGTGGACAGACTATAAGGTTCAATGGGGAGTGAACATCAGATTTACACATTTGGACAGCTCACTGTGGTGAGTCCGAGGGGCTGCAAAAGAAGAGTAAAGACAGAAGAATGTCACTGTGAGCAAGGACAGAAGCAGGAAATAACCTACAGTAGGACAGGACTCGCATCTAAATCCAAAATTCTTTTATGTCTCACATATACCTAGCATACAGCCTGAAGGTAATTTTATATAGAACTTTGAGTGTACTTGCATTTCGACTGCAACCCAGTATATGAAGTCATACACAGAATTTTCCGCTTATTGTATCACACCACCACTCAAAAGTTTTGTATTTTGAGACATATTATATTTAAGATTTTGAGATCAGGGATGCTTAGCCTGAACTAATCTGAAACATCTGGGTTAGGGTTAAAATATACAGATTTCTAGGTTACCAGAGAAAACAAGATATAGGAGTAAAATTGTCCAGGGACAATAAAAAAAGATGAAAAGCAGCCAATAATGGACTAAATCCTGGAGAAGCCTGATATCTATGAGGTGGATGGAGGGTAGAAACAAAATCCAACTCAGGGACAAGTATGGAGGTTTTAAAATGAAAGAACACACATTCACAGCCACTGAAAGGATACAAAGAACTTTCAAAAGAAAGAAATGTTCATCACTTAAAACAGAGCTGAGAATAAATGAAATCTGAAAACTATTTACTGGATTCTGCAATCAAGGATACCACTGGTATCTTAAGTAAAAAGATGCTTTATCTTTCTAAATGGATACTAAATACAACAGTGGGTAAGGCCCAGCCTGCAGAGAAATCAATGCTAAGTGAAGTAATAGGGTGGGAGAGAATAGAGAAAGGAAAAGAGGAAAAAGAGGAGGAGGAGAGGCAAAGAAAGTGGGAGGAAGTAAGAGGAAAACTGCCAATCTATGCATAATTTGAGTCCATAAACAAGAAAATTAAAACAGAGAAATAATAAATAGTTCAACATATAATGTATAAAGAAATAAAATGGAGAAAATGACATAAAATGTTTACTCTGAGACTCAATGCTGTAAATTTGCTAGATTCCAAAAAGAAATAGCCAGGAAAAAAAGATTTGAGATTTACGAGAGGAAAAAAATCTGGGGCTAGCCTGATTTCCCCACAGCAACACTCAATGCCAGAAGGTAGTGGAGCAATATTCCCAAGATCCTTAATGAAAGCCAAAATATTTTTCAATAGAAACGCTAGAGACCAACAATTTAAAGATACAATAACTCAAAGAATATTGTTTTCATGAACCTTTATTGAAAAAAGTATCTGAGAAACCAAGAAATGACTGGAAAAATGACAGCAAGAAGGGCTGAATTTCTTCCCTTTTCTTTTTACTTATGTGTTTGGCACAGGGTCGCACACAAGGCACCCTGGACTCGTAGTGACCCTTCTGTATGCAGCCTCCCCAGTGCTGGACTACAGGCATGTGCCACCACGTCCAGACTCAAATCACCAGCTCAGCACGGCCTGTGGTGCCAGGGATCGAATCCTGGTTCCTGTGTTTACCTAAGTAGGCACTTGGCACACTGCGCTATTTCACAGGCTCAAGAAATGGCTGAATTTCTGATCTCCAAATTTAAGAGGGGTGAATATTTCTTTAATATCTACTTTAATGCAGAATCCTTAACTGGCCTGTAATAAAACGGCTTCTCTTATTAGACATTTGTATATATTTAAGACTTTAAAGCCTTTAAAGAAGGCAATGGGGATATACAAATACAAAAACTGAGCTCACAGATAAACTAAATTTAAGCCTGTCACTGAGTGACAGAACAGACTGTTTTACTGCACTGTGACTATCTTAACACCTGCCACAAGAAGCTATAATCTCTGGCCTTCTCTATTCATAGGGACGATCTCAAAATAAATGGGATAACAGATGCTGTAGATTCCTCTGATTTTCAGAACAGCATTAATTCTCTCAATTTATATTCAAAAAAGTCATTCACGTAATAAAAACCTAAGTCTTATAATTTCCATGGGCTGTGAGAGGCAAGCAGAGCTCAAACACACCCTTCCCCCATTCTCCTATCCTCAAATTGGCTCAGAGAAAGTGAGGGTTAGACAAGGAAAATGCCTAACACTTCACTCTCATTCGCTTTTTAGTCACTCTCCACATAGCCTTTTAATACAACAAAATATGCCCACAGCTGCTAGTATAACAGCCTTGAATGATGAATTCTCAGACAAGAATTAAATGAAGCCCAAAGAAGAGCTTGATATAAATTAACATAAGGCTTTTTTAAGATTTTCTAGTGTTTGTGGACAGGAATCCTGTCTTCATCTTGTACAATGAATAACCACTAAGACAACAATATGCAATGTATTAATTATTGAAACTGTCCTACTAATCAGTTTTGAAACTGTCTCATTGCTATTTCTCAATAAGATTATTTTTAACAAAGATTTTCTAAGATTATATATATTTGAAATACTTTTAGCTTGATCCACATTATTAAAATGCTTTGTATTTATATCTCAACACTGTTTCATATATAGTATCATAAAATAATGCTTCCATCATTAAGTGACCAGCTTCTGAGTTTGGGAACACTGTAATTCAAATCAATCAGTTTAATAATTCACATGTTTACCATGGTTCTCCTGAAATGCATGAGATTTTTCACTTTCAAGTGTATTTATCTTCTAAACTCATTAAGTGCTCTGTCTTCTGTATTTCAAAGTGATTTACAACTCTGAGATTACAACTCTGACATTACCAGAGAACAGTGAGATTATGTGAGGTTATTAAGGAATATTGTGGGATGAAACATAATTCAGTTTGTACAGGATCAAATCAATATCCTAAGCCAGATAGCCTGGGCTTCTTGTGGCTCTACAATATTAGGGAAGTCAAACTCTGTGTGTCCACTAATATTGTAACATACAGATACATAATAAAAGCTATCTTTTAAGTATGTTCTAGGTATTAAGCAAGATGGTCGTCAGGCATTCAGCATACAATAATATTAATCATCAATATGGAGCCAGGTGTGGTAGTGTATAGCCTGCACTACCCCCTCTCCTCTCTCTCTCTCCCTCCCTCCCTCTCCCCCTCCCTCCCTCTCCCTCTCTCTCTCTCTCTCTCCATCTCCCTCTCTCTCTCCATGATTACAAAGATATGGGTTAT